GCTCTTGGGTAGTTTTCTCTTATTCTTTGTGTTCATAGTGGCAGGAATTAGAAGATTCCTCCTACTGAATTAAAGCTATAAAGTAGTAACTATAGTAGCAAGGGATAAATAGAAGAAAGAGAACCCAAGGAAAAGAAGGCGGTCTATTCATATTAAAGTTTCTTTTTTACATACAAAAGAAAAAGATTTTAATATGACTTCATAAATATTGACCATAAATATTGATCTCTCTAGTCAGTGCATAGCTTAAGTTTTATTAGATTTTAGTCGTAACTATTTTATATGAATAGATATTTTCATTTTTATCTTATTTAATCAAATTAAGTTTTACCAGAAATCCATTTACTAAACCATACTAGTGGCCTTGATTTACCTTTCTTACTCCTTTAAGGGTTGATACCTTGTACAAATGAAATTTCAAAAAGAAGTACCACCATACTAACAAAAAAAGAAAAAAAAGATAAATTCTATAATTTTATTCATTCCCGTTGTGTTCATACGCCTACCCAAGACAAAATTTGAATTCTGTGTAATTCATTTTATAATTTGCAGTATTATAAACTACATAATATTAGAGATTCTTTATCTTTGATGGACTTATGAAATTAGACCATCGGCTTAACTATTGCAAAAACATTACAGTAACCTTCAGTAGGAAAAAAAGAATAATTCTTGCTTTAGAAATTAGTTTGACATTCAGAACCTAATAATTGCATTTAGTTAAAAAAATATTTTCAGATTTTAAATTTTCTTACATTTTTTAAATGACATCCTTTGATAAAATATGAAGCTCTTTTGAGGAAAAATATAGACAAATAGTGATCTAGAATATCATACTTTAATTTTTTCTGGAAACAAGAATTTTTAGGCTTTTAGTAGGCATAAGGAATGTTTTCTGTGAGATGACTGGAAAATTTTTGCCATGTAGAGTACATCTTCCTCTTATTTTTTAAATAGAGAAGAGCTCATTTACATTTGGGTACAATAAGGACCTGACCAAGAATCCCAACTATATTATATTTTTCCAAGTATTCACAAATGACCTTAATTGCGAATAGCCTCTGTGTTTGTAAAGAGAGAGATGGATTTAGATTGTTTGCAGTACTCTAACCAAATTCTGTATCTTTAGAGTTCATGATTCTATCAAGGAAAACCCTAGATTCTGGATCAATTAGCCTAAAACAAAAAATTGTATTTTAAGAGCAGCTTTTTCCTTTTACACTTAATTTGCACTAGAATGAAAAGATGTGTGTCTGTACTTCATCACAAATAGGACTGCTCTAGATTTCCTTTTTAGTAGGGAAATAGTCTCACAACATCTGATGATGTTTAAATTTGATTGAATATTTTTCATAATCAGAGGCCACTCAAGATATAACTTAGGCATCCCTCAATAGCAAGTATTCCATAGCATTATAAATACTGCAGTCTGGAACTCATAATACATCAGAGATAACAAGCTTCCTCACTGAGATGGCTGATTTTTGTATACTTTATCTCCTTGAAAAATACCACAATATTTCTTCTTTATAAAGTTAACTTGTTCTTAAACTGGAATTTAAGTATTATTGCATCTTATAAATTTTATGAAGTGCAAATACTTTTTAACAGAAATAATGAAGATTTTGCTTTTATTTACATGTTTAGTATCCGTCATAAAAGAATTTTGCACTGCTATTTGACGTACATAGATGGCGTGAAGTTAGTTTGTGTAAATGTACAGTTTAGATGAGTCATTGGACCAAACTCATTTTACCTTACTACACTAAACTTTCAGCGAACTTTTTAAAATAAATTTTGTTTGTAAGGTATTAAATCTTTTCCTTTGGCAGTCTTTCATCATCTCTCTTTTTTTCCATTTTGTTGTATTGCAACAAATTAACTTTTTTTCCATTGTATTGCAACAAATTAACTTACAAATATTTTATATTTCTCAGTGTTTCCAGGGAAATAGTTTTATTATACCTTCTGTCTCACCAGTAACGTAACTCTGAAAGAAAAGGGATTGCTACAGTCATTAGTTACTACTTTGACACACCTCATTTTCTTTATTTCTCAAAAACAATAAGCTAATAGACTAGAGGATAGCCTCAACTTTTGGGAAACATGCAACTTTTACTACTTTAAAGTATAATTGGTTTCTTTGTTTCATGCATTAAAAACAAGGAGGAAACGCTGAAGTCTGCCCAGGCCAGGTGTTTCTTGTTGGCAGCCTGCTCCCTAATGACTCTGTTCTCAAAGAGCAGCTGCCTACTAGTCAGCTTTGTATGGCCTATTGTTGCCGCACACCCCTCGTTAATACACATGCTGCCCGGGGCAGACCCCAAGAATGACATCAACTTGCTTATCTTAAAAACCTGGACGCAGGGTGCTGAGGTTGGCTTGCATCTGCCTGGCCAACTAATTGTGAGTTTTCTGTCCTACGATTGGCTGTTATGCCACTCGGTAATAGGTTAAGCAAAGACATTGCCATTCCATCTGTTCAACCATTCATTGTTCTTCTTGCCTGCCTGGAAGTCTGCAGCTAAAATTGTGTTAAGGAGTTACTGCTGAAGCTGCTACAGAAACCAATGTCTTTGCATTTTCCTGCTAACGTGAGTATCTGTGCCTTGAAAGTTAAATTTTTGTAAATATTCAAAATATTAGTTTGAACTATGTATAAAATAGAAAGCACCTCAAACAAAAGTCTACAAATTATTACATGGTGCCAAAATACCAGATAATTAAATTCTTTCTGTAAAATATGTCTGTGAAGCAGATTTTTTACATTTTGAAATTCTGGAGTTTTATAATTACAGCTTCATGAGCATTTGCAGGGCATCAGGCATGGCATGTAATCATT